ACGGAAGTAAGTCGGACCTGTTCCCAGTGAGGGTTGGACTCCGCCAGGGCTGCCCTTTGTCACCGGTTCTGTTCAATTCAATTCAATTCTATTTTTGTTTATATAGAGCCAAATCACGACAAGAGTCATCTCAAGGCACTTCACATCATAAACATTCCAATTCAGCTCAGTTCATTAAGCCAGTTCATTACCTTTATGGACAGAATTTCTAGGCGCAGCCGTGGTGTGGAGTGTGTCGAGTTTGGTGGCAGGAGAATTTCGTCTCTGCTTTTTGCGGATAATGTGGTCCTCCTAGCTTCATCCAGCTCTGACCTTCAGCTCTTGCTGGGTAGGTTCGCGGCCGAATGTGAAGCGGCTGGGATAAGGATCAGCACCTCCAAATCTGAGACAATGGTTCTCGACCGGAAAAGGGTGGCTTGCCAACTCTGGGTCGGGAGAGAGGTCCTACCTCAAGTGGGGGAGTTTAAGTATCTTGGGGTCTTGTTCACGAGTGAGGGTAGGAGGGATCGGGATATTGACAGGTGGATTGGTTCAGCATCTGCAGTGATACAGACGCTGAGCCGATCTGTCGTGGTGAAGAGGGAGCTGAGCCAGAAAGCCAGGCTCTCGATTTACCGGTCGATCTACGTCCCAATCCTCACCTATGGTCATGAGCTTTGGGTAATGACCGAAAGATCGAGATCGCGGATACAAGCGGCCAAAATGATTTTCCTCCGTAGGGTGACCGGGCTCAGCCTTAGAGATAGGGTGAGGAGCTCAGACATTCGGGAGGGACTCGGAGTAGAACCGCTGCTCCCCCAGATCAAAAGGAGTCAGTTGAGGTGGTTTGGGCATCTGGTCAGGATGCCTCCTGGACGCCTCCCCGGGGAGGTGTTTCGGGCATGTCCTGCCAGCAGGAGGCCCCCGGGTCGACCCAGGACACGTTGGAGAGGTTACATCTCCAATCTGGTCCGTGAACGCCTTGGGGTCCTGCCAGAGGAGCTGGTGGAAGTGGCCGGGGAGAGGACGGTCTGGAGCTCCCTAGTTGGGATGCTGCCCCCGCGACCTGGACCCAGATAAGCGGAGGAAAACAACGATTTACAAAGGGTCAACAAGTGCTAAACACCTCTGGGAACTCATTCAAGACCAGTGGAAAACCATTTCAGGTGACTACCTCTTGAAGCTCATCAAGAGAACACCAAGAGTGCATGCAAAGCAGTAATCAGAGAAAATGGTGGCTATTTTGAATAATATAAAACACGTTTTCAGTTATTTCACCTTTTTGGTTTAAATACACCTCCACATGGGCTCATTCATAGTTTTGATGCCTTCAGTGAGAGTCTACCAATTTAAATGGTCACAAAAATAAAGACAACACATTGAAAGAGATGGTGTGTCCTAACTTTTGGCCTGTACTGTAGATTTGTAAATAAACAAATGTGGAAATAAGACTGAAAATAAATGGCCTAAATGAATTATAAGAGGAAATAAATAGTTAAATACACGAGAGAATAAAACTGAAAATCAATATATTTGGAAATAAAAAATAAATTACAAATTAAATTGTAATTATTCATGCATTCATTCATTCATTCATTCATTCATAAAGTCATACACTGCCCCCCCCCCAAAAAAAAAAACAAACAAACAAAATCACCACAAAAAAAGGACACACACTAATATTACGTTGGGTGCCTTTATCTTTGACTACAACACACTTTGCTGTGGTGTTGTTTTGATAAGCTACTGCAACGTCACCAGATTTCTCTCCATCCAGTGTTGCATTAATGTCTCACCAAGATCTTGCACTGATGATGGTAGAGTCTGACCGCTGCACACAGCCTTCTCCAGCACATCCCAAAGATCCTAAATGGGGTTAAGGTCTGGACTCTGTGGTGGCTAACCCATGTGTGAAAATGATGTGTCATGCTCCCTGAACTACTCTTTCATTATCTTAGCCCGATGAATCCTGGCTTTGTCATCTTGGAACATGCCCGTGCCATCAGGGAAGATGGAATAACCTGGTCATTCAGGATATTCAGGTAGTCAGCTGACCTCGTTCTTAGAGCACATCCTGTTGCTGAACCTAGAACTGACCACCTGCAGTAAGCCCAGATCATAGCACTGCCCCCACAGGCTTGTACAGTAGGCACTAGGCATGATGGGTGCATCACTTCATCTTCCTCTCTTCTTACCCTGATGCACCATCACTCTGGAACAGGGTCCATCTGGACTCATCAGACCAGTATTAATAAAGCGGTGGACAGTTCTGAACCCAGTATTAGGAAGGGTAAACATTGGACAGATTGCCAGTCTATTGCAGGGCAAAACTGAGACACACAGGACAAACAACCACACACACACACACACACACACACACACACACACACACACACACACACACACACACACACACACACACACACACACACACACACACACACACACACACACACCTAGGGTCAATTTAGACAGACCAATCTACCAGACAGTCACATTTTTGGACTGTAGAAGGAAGCTGGAGTACCCGGAGAGAATCCACGCAAGAAAAGGGTGACCATTCAAACTCCATGCAGAAAGACCCCAGGCCAAGATTTGAACCCAAAACCTGCTTCCTGCAAGGCAACAACACCAATCACTGCTCCACTGTGCAGCCCTCTGTGTAAAATTCTAAACAATACATTTTATTCATTATAGAGAACATCTTTACTGGTGTGATGTCCACAAATGGTCAGTTTTCACCTACCGATGGCCTACAGGTCATCGGTCATCTGCAGACCTAATTCAATCCTGTGAATCGGATTTTGTATTCTAGCTGCCAACAAGCCACAAGATCCTGAACTGCTTGTTGACATCCTGGAATCACAATATTGACATCCTGTTCTTTCCAAGGTCCCTCACAGAGCACCCTTTTATCTAAACTCCTTGCTTCAAAGAAGAAAGAAGAAAGAATATTTTTAAATTAAATATGAACTTCTAAAACTTAAGCCAGACAATCACTGAATAAACGTTTGTTTATTGCTACTTATAATAATTATAAATAATGAAATGTTTCATTAATCTGTGCTCAATGATTGTTTCAGCATGTTTACTTGACAAGGTCATAACATTTGCACTCTCACAAGTACAACGTAAGATAAACTTAAGTCCATGACACATAATTAACCTTTTACCCAGATCAGAGCCTCCGGATCAAAGAAGGCGTGTGTTTCTGAGATTCTTGGTAACGTCCAAACTGGCCAACCTTTGGTTGGCTACACAATCATAACATGAGAACCTTAAAGTGATTCTTTAGTTCTAGAGGAGCTTAAGGCCGGCCATCTGAAGCAAAAACCTCTTTAACCCACCAAAGCTTTTGACACATCGTCAAAACCTTTTTGCACCTGCGAAGCTGATACAACAAAATAGTTCCTGCAGAACAAGCTGATTTTTCAACTCCTTAAGAGTTATCCCTGAGACGCAAACTAGTTCCAACTGGGAGATGACTCTGGACTGACCTGGTCATAAGTTAATATACGGACTTCAGTACCTGGGGCCTCTGACCCCCCCCCCCCCCCACCCCCCCCCCCCCACCCCCCCACCCCCCCCCCACCCACACACACACACACACACACTTTATAGTGTAATGACTACATATTTACTTATGACCAGTAAGATGTGATGATTCCATATAAAAATGAAGTATCAACCTGATTGATCTTTGAATGTTTAACCAGAAGAGTTTAGGATTCTTTGCTTGTTCAGAGACCATAAACACACTTTGTATTATTTCAGGCAGAGTCGAGTATATAATTAAAAGGATTTTTATTATTTTCTAAACTAATGATAATACATGACAAGCTATGAATAATGATGTGTGATGGAGTGTATATGTGGTGATGGAATGTGAGTTGTAGGTGGTGTGATGTGTATCAGAACCTTTGTATCTGAAAGAAATTGTGAATTCCAGGTGTAAAAGAATTTTGTTCTGCTATAAACTAGAGAGTTGATTATTAATAAAACAACATCAGACGCAATCTGTTGAGTCTACAACCCCTGATCGGAGACCCCCCGGTCAGATCCGGAATGTCAGGAAGTTGCGTGGACCTCAAGGCACCAAAGTTCATAGAATAATCGCAGTACGACCAGCCCGGTATCGAGATGTCTCCAGGTCACAACAGGCAGGAAGGTTTGCTGTGTCTGACACGAATGGGCTCTTAAGGAGCCATGTGGATGCGTCGGCTGGCAGTGTGCCAACAGGTTTGACTGTGTGTCTAAGAGAGGGGTGTCTCAAGGAGGCTGGTTCCGAACTGGCCATTTCGGAGTTCCGCTCGAAACTGAATAACTCGGGAAGTCAATCTAGTTTTAATAATCCACTTGTTATCATTTCTACGAATCAGAATTTGACATGTTGTAGGCTTCACCAATCATCCCTCAGAAACCCACACCTTCCAGATACACGCTGTTCTAATTCTGTGGATAAAGAATCTTTAAATTTTATGTGAGATGGCCTTAACCTTAATTTGCCTCTAATGACCATTGTGTATGAGTGTAGATAATGATTAACTTGTTAAATCAAACAGTTCTGATCATAAGACATAAATGGATCATTGTAAGGACAATATTCATTTCAACTTCACTGAATTAGGCACTGATTATTCATAAAACATCTGGTTCATTCAACCATATGATTATAAATGATTATTTAACTTATGAGTTGTAAGAGTTCACTTTTTATTCAGAGTGTGGAATCCAGCAGTCTGAGATAAGAGGACAGTCTTTGTTTGGAGACCTAGTTTGACAATCTTGTCTTCATGGACAGTCAACAAGCGCTGCAGAATCGTCTGGGTGTTAGAAGATAGAATAGAAAATCCACCTAGACAGTGGAATTATTTCTGTAGATGACTGGTCACTATGTGGTCAATATAAGGGTCAAAACTGACCCTTTCTGGATGTAACAACTCTAACAGCAAACATACATACGAGCCATTCTCTCCACTGAATCGCGTCACCATCATGAATTCAGCAACGACAGCTTGTAACAGTGAAGTTAAACTAGTTTATTGACAGCAGAAACAGAATAGCAATACACCAAATTGTGCATCTTTTAAAACAACGGAAACAGGTTCCCAAAGAATCTGCAAATCATGTTGTTTTCTAAATGCAGTGAATAAAACTATACTTACATAGTTGTTCTCCCTTATCTAATAATATTCATGTCTTCAAGGTTGAGAAGCATGAGCTATAAATAAAAGCAATGTAGACATAATGCTGCTGCTTAATGCTTTGCTAACATTGAGCTTCAATGAGCTTTTATTGATTCTAATTAACAAATGAGAACAAAGGAAATCAGAAAACCAGACTTTGCTCAAATGCAAAATGTGGCGTTCTTCTAGTGAAACACCTGAAGAGCAGACACATCTGCTGACAGGTGTTTAACCAATTTAAGGTGCGGCTCAATTTTGGAGAGTTACGCTCTTTTTGGAAGAAAACAGATTTGCATTCCACTTGCTTCCAAAAGTCACTCGTCTCTCATGTACATGAAGATGTGAGAAGACCTGTAACCATCGCACAGCTTCCCAAACTAAACCATCATCTCCCAATCACTTTTGGGTGCTCAAACAAGTTTGAAATGAGATTTTAAGGCTGTGAATGTAATAAAATTTATGGCTTTTTATCATTAGAGCAATGAAAGAAGATGCAACGGGGCTAGAACACTTAAATACATCTGGATGAGAAACTCAAGCTGAAAGACAAGAGACACATTTATTAGTAACGATGCTGAAAGACACGCTTCGGGTGTGACGATCTACCAGATGGCTTTTATGAGAGATGCAGGGGGGTGGGGGGGGGGGGGGGTGTAGTTTTGATAACAGTTGTCTTACAGCAGAGGAGAGGAAATGTTCTGCCTCTGGGATCCACCAGTCCCTGTTTAACACCAGCAAACAAATGACTCTTTGATCCTCCCACTCATCCACCTTTTCTCCAGAATAAAATGTGATGTGATGAGTCAAGAAAAGGACAAACTGTCACTTTAATTTGCAACCTGTTCTTTAATTTCCTGTTACTGAAGAAGCTTTGAGGTGCAAACTGGCTGCTTGATATTCCTGCATGAGCAGACTTCACGTGAAACTATTTCTCCGTGGAGTTTCCTCATTTTTATATTTATGTTTGCTGGGTTGGTGACCTTAAAGCTGGACTCCAGAGTTTTCTCCTTTCAGTAATTAACAGTTTTTTTTAAATCCATAAAAGGAATAGTTTGACCCTTTTCTGTGATGTAATGTCCCTTAGAGCCCCATGCGATTTGAAGCGATGACCGCTCAGCCAATAGCATTAGAGACCGGCTTACGTACACATGTCCATCATGGCACGTTCGCATGCATCTGTGGACATACTGATGCAGACGGACAAGTAATTCTTTAAAGGTTTGGTATACTTGTTTAAAAAATACACTTGCAGTGGTGTCTGGTAAGAATTAATGCCTTGCAAGCCATACTTAGGGCAACAAAACACCCCAAAAATCTGTTGCATCAGCAGGGACAAGTTTGCCACATCAGAGGAGAGCTTAGCACGGCAGGAGTAGGAGTACTTCCTGATGTTTGGATTTCTTGCCTCGGATTGGCTAACAGCAACCTGACTCTACCACTGACTCTGTTTGCAACATTGATGTTTTATCTCCACAAATAACACAAGCCTGGGGAACTTCTGCCGTGTGGTGTATTAGATAATGCTAAAGGTTAGCTTCCGCTAGCCGAAACGCTTCTGGTCACTAAAACAACAGCCTTCCCTGTCGTGAGTCAAGATCGGCGAGTCCATGAATGTTAAGGGACAGTGATAACGGAAGTAGGGAGAGGGGCTTATGGTGCAATAGATTTTTTTCTGCCTCTATCCACCTTATAGCCCCCAAGATTCTTTGTGTGTGAAATATGTGACCTACTTCCAGTCCAGTGTTTGTTTACATTGCAACTATAGATGGGTGATACAATCCGTTCGTGCTAATCCACATTTTAGGGGCTTTTTGAGACATAAACTAAATGGGAACATCAGCTGTCACAGCTCAAACGAGACAGTCTCCCTGCCTACTGGAATAAAGGGGTGGGGGATGATAAGAAAATCTGGCCGAAGCTAACATACAGTAGCATTTTAGCTACTTTCCTAACTCTGTTGTGAGCTCCGAGGCATATCAGTACTTACATAGTAATAAGGTTTGTCGTGTGTGGTTGAAGGAGGTGGGACACAATCTTATTTACTTAAAAGCCAGAACATTCTTCAGGGGCAAATAGGTTTTTAATCCTCTTGAAATGTTTAAATAGACTGCGACAAGGAAAGAAAGGTCACCATGCAGGACAGCAGCTTCAGGTATCTCACCGGATGTTGCACGCATAATCGTTTCTAGATCAGCCGGCCAAGGATTATGGTGTATATGGTCCACTCTGAGGAAAAAAAACTTCAGATTTCAGCTTTAAGATGATATTTTTGTACAAATGCAACTCTTCAAAATACCTGTTTTAATGTAAAGTGAAAATGTTCTTTTTGTATTTTATTGGTGCTGCAACTGTTACTGCAGGATTGCACTTTTGCTTTGTTGGAAAACAATTGCCGTCTCTGAGATATACCAATCCCAAAAGTAGTGAAAAAAGAAGAAAGAAGAAAAGAAAATATCATTTCTATAGCGGGTTCTATAGTGGGACACTTCATCAAAGCAGTAGATGCATGGGTTACAATCAAGACATGGAAGAGTGAGTTTTGCCTGGCCTGCAACATCATAGATGGTTTTAGAGTGGAGACCGTCCTTTCCAACATCAGTGCCTCACCTTACCAATGTGATTCTCAAAAAAGGTTGAACAATCACAAAAACAAACTCCTAAACCTTGTGGAAAGTGTGTCCAGAGGAGCTGAATATGTTGTAGCTGCACAGAAATAAAGGTGTGATATAATTTGAGTTTATGCGTGTGTAACAGCTCAGCACACAGATACGTGAGGCAGTGTAGCACAGCTGGAAAGTAAGCAGGTTAATTGACTGCAATTGTATGTTTAAGCCACTAGGTGGCAATAAACCTGAAACATTAGAGATTGAAAGAGAATTGAGAATCCACTGTGTTGAATTTTGCATAAAAAGATGTTCTTTTGGAAGAGAAGTTACTTATAAATTATTGAAATATTCCAAGTCCAAACCAGAAATCCAAACCAGAAGGTTGGTAAACAAAAATGTAAACCTGAAATATCAGGTTAGAAGAAATTTATCGGGAACACAGAAATAAAACCGCCACAGGAAATGGGTTGAGACGGTCATATTCTAAAATTTTTTGCGTTGTTTTCAGAAGATAATGTGACAATTTCTTGTCCTTAGCCCTGACAAAATGTAAATTTGTTTTAAGGCCTCTACTTACATTACAATTGATAGAAATACACATTTGAACATTCAAGTGACAGACATAATCAAAGGGAACATAAAAACGTACAATTTTTGGTGCCGAGTATGTCGACTAAAACATTTATAATTAAGTAGCTCATTCAGTTAACTATACAGGTACAAACCAGCACAAATAAACAGAAAGTGGTGGACTGATGAAACAAAAATACACAACAATGTCCAACAAACTGATTCTTATTCCTTCTAGCTCTGGTGATGCATTTTTCTAAGTATTACCGAAGAAGGATTTCTTGAACCTGTTGGCGTTTTTGCTAATAGGCCTGTTTCTACTTTTGGAACGTCCAGGCAATTTTACAGATCCTTCACAGCATGCTCGTGTCTCCATTTCACCGGATCATTTCAAGAACCAATGGAGTATCTTCGCAGTGGCCTAGTGGCATGAGTGTCCATCCTGGAACAGGGGGGTTGGGGTTCAAGTTCGGTTGGGTCATACCAAAGACTTTAAAATGACCCAATACCTCCCTGCTTGACACTCAGCTTTAAGGGGCTGGATTTGGGGTTAAAACACCATATAGTTCTTCAGCGCAGCCACTGCTGCAGCTTATCGCTCCAAATGGGGATGGGTCAAATGTGAAGGTGTAATTTCACCAGAGTGTGAAGATGACTAATGGGAGGTTACCTGAACAGAGGTATGCACTCGGAAAGGTCTGTTTCAGTGTCAGTTGCTGAGCGGGACTTGTAGTTAACTCATGCTAATTGGTTGTAACTCAGTAGGAAATAAAATCAGCAGAAGTTGTCTAACAATCGGCATTTGTAAAACTGGAAGAGCTGCTGTTGAAGCAGATTAGAATGAAAGGAAAATGCATTGATGATTCTTTTAAATTGCTGTTTCTAAACTTCCAGTATCCAAAAATGCTGCAAAAATCCCCCTCACAATGTTGTAATTCTCGCTGCTTTGTTGTCTCATAGAGCATCTTAAAAAACCCACATTTTTTCAAGTCATTGAACGCCACTTTTTCTGATCAGTGACGTCATTCGCTGCCAAAGCAGTTGCAATAAGATGACGTGTTAGCAATTTGCTGTAGCAAATTTAGGAAATAAGCTAGCTTAAAAAATGTTTCAAGCTTCTTACCTTCTAACATAGAACAGTTATAAATATACTGTGGAAAAAAATACATTTTTTAAAGTGGTTCACTTGCATTTGTCCAAAGACCTCTGCCAATAACACAGCTTGGACCAAATGTAACTACTGGACCATCTGGTTATCAGTCTCGTCAAACCACTGCCCTTCCCAGGGTCCTCCATTTATTACACAGTTGCGAGAGGTTCGCAGCTCAGTAAAATCAGAGAAGGAGAAACAGCTGGCTGCTACCACTTCAACTTTAGGGCAAACTGCCGGAGTCCCAAAACGAAAAACACCATTCGAAGTCATGGACAATAAAGGCTATGGACCTAGAAAACTGCGACTGGTGTTTAGCTGTCTCATGTTTCATATGGCAATGAGGGTTTCCAGTGAACGCAGAGCCAGTGAAGATATCGGAGGTGAGGGGTGACCATGTTGGCATTCAAAACCTAGCTTGTTTGCAGATTTGCTATAGCAGCTTTAAAGAGACAATTTTGGATACAGACACGGCGGCTGAGAGGATGGAGCCATTACGTCTCCTGGAAGACTTCCCAGAATTCCTTTAGTGGAAACACAACTAAAGTCTGCACCTGTAACCAACATTCAAAAGTTCAATGTGCACAGACATGCTGCCATAAGAGGAACTGTCAGAGAAGCTGTTAAACATTTAGAAGAGGGGTACTCGATTCTGGACCTGGTGGGCCGGTATCCAGCACGTTTTAGTGGTTTCTCTGCTCCAACACACTTGATGCAGTGGTTGAATCCCCTATGCAGCAGCTCATCAAGCTCTGAAATCAGGTGTGTTGAAAGAGAGTTGAAATTTAAACATGCTGGATACCAGCCCTCCAGGCCCGGAATTGAATACCCCTGATCTAGATCTTAATGAGTGTTAGAAGCTGTCGTCTTCAACAGACAGGGACCTTTAAGTCAGCCTCACATGACTAACTCTCTTTATGCTGCATCTTAACAAAATCTAAGGAACTATCGTGCATCATTACTTCATATTTTCAGTTTAGTACAGAAAGATCAAATTACTTGGTTTAGCTGGAATGAAAAATCTTCTTGTAGCGTGTTAGAAAAGTGTAGACATGGAGAAAACCAGGCATAAGCACACAAGTTATTATACGATGTAGGATTGCATATGGAGATAACTGATTTATACAGCTTTTCTAACATCATCTCAAAAATTGTCTTTTTATCTACCACTTGTTGATCATCCTATTATTATGTTAGATTAACATCTATGCAACATTTTGTAACTTCATGGCAAGAAAAATAAGGATTTTTGAGCCTTTTTGAGCAGACAATCACTGTGAATTTAACAGGTGACATTTTTCACTAGATGAGGGACTAAAACAATATTTTAAAAGAGCTAAAATACATTTTGATTTATAATCTTTTCTTTTATTATAGGGCTGTTCTGACATATTTATATATTTTAACCATTTTATTCTTATTTTATGTAGTGATTGTTGTTTTCTTTTTACTTGTTTTAACTTGAAGTTAATTGGTTCCCTGTTGGCTGTACTTTATGAACACATTTAGTTTGTACATAACATTGGGCGGAGCCTAATCGAGTCAATTAGCACTGTCCAGTCAGAGAAAGCTTTTATGATTTTTAACAACAATATGAAGGTACCAGGCAAAACATCATTCAAGGACATTTTAGGTCTTATTTATTTATTTATTTATATGTTTTTTTTGTTCTTTTTCATTTTTTTTTCAAAGATGAGAAGATTTTTTTACATGGATATAAATATAATAACTCTCATAAACTGACAAAATGTGCTGTTATCAGAAATCAAATGTGACAACTACCTTATTGATTTATTGCTTCACTGGAAATAAAAAGGTTTGTTCATTTGTTTGGAAACAACATTAATATCCCTGCAACACTGCTACTGGCTAAAGCCTAATTTATACTTCTCCGTCAGCTCAATGAGGGTGAGACACGCACGGAGAGATGGAGACGTTTTGCCCTCAGACTTCTCCGTCTCCTGGGGAGTGTTGCAAAGCAATTCCCCTCCAGGACATCAGAGGGCGTAGTGCTGTTCTGTGGAACCCTGTCATGTATCCTGTCCAAGTTAGCATGTTTATATTGTGAATTTTTTGTATTTAAGAGACGGACAAATTTGTCTCTCATTCTCCTCTTCATGCACTCGTCACCTCTAAACCCACATTTTCCGTCATTCCCATCCACGAATTCAACACTTGCTGCGTATCTCTTTACTCCTCCAGTCACGGGGAAATAAAACGTTCATAGTTTTAGAGTTTTTCCGCGAGTTATTCTTCAAGATTCTCCGTGTCTGCCGCTAGATATCCTCGGTTCTCTTTATGTTGTTGAGGGCGCAATGTACGACAGCGGTGTCCAGACCAATCACAAGCTTGCGCTCTCCGTCTTGACGGACGGATGTTTAGAAAAGAAAGCTTGACTCCCTCCGTCCTTGCAAGCCTGCCGGAGAGCCCTCAAAAAGACGGATAACGGCGTTGCGTGTCCCGACGCAGACGGAGAAGTATAAATTAGGCTTGAGATGAGGCCACTTTTGCATTAATATTATTTAAAAATGAGATTTAATATATGACTTCATCTGATTTTAATATTTGGTTTTAAAAATTCACCTCATTAATTTAAAAAATGAAATTATTGAGATTCTTCAGTTTTTCTTGTTTGTATTCTGAAAGAAAATTTCTTTAAATGTACAGAATTTTATGGTGAAATAATCACAAAACAGTCTAACGTCTTAATCATGTTGGAAGGAAGGTTACATTGATACAGATTTCCTTCTCTGTCGGCTGGGGCTTTTTAGTTATAGTCATTGTTCTATTAGATGTGGGCCTTGCTCATTAAGGCTAATCGCTAGTGGGTAACATCCAATCCCTAAACAATCACTGAAGAACTCTAATGCACGCCCGTCTGCTGGCCAGGCCTGGTGCAGTATAAGAGGGAGACTGGACCAAGGATTTGCTCCCAATAGTATTTGGCCAACCAGAACCAGTGAAGATTGTGCCGATCCTCATGGAGTCTGGGCTTAAAATATGTAACCATTGTTTACAATATGTGACACAACAGGGTTGCAGAGTCTGCGCCAGCTAATGCTGCAGTGGCGGCATTAGTAATTTAACACTGGCGGGCATAACCCAGCAGCATTTTTTAAAGATCCCAGGCCAGTAAACCGGAGCGACCCACAAGTTATTTATTGGACCCCTAAAGGTCATGAATTACTTGCTGTTTAACGACACAAACACATGTTTAAAATGGCTGGCACGCATTACTTGCGTTGATTTTAAGCACTCTTGTGTGCGTCCCCCAAAATTAACGCAATGCATCAGAACACTGCAATATACAAGTAACTAGTAGGTGGAGTTGAAAGTGAGTGAGACACATTCCAATGGTGACTCCATCTCTGTCCGTTTTTTCTGTCGTGATCTCACAATTAATCAGTTACCGGGCTCTTGACGCCATGTTTGTTTTGGTTGTTCCCACAAACCCAGCTCTCTATTCGGTCTGAGTTCTCTAGAGCACTCCCCTGGTGGAACACTCGAGTAGTACATGCAGTGCAGTGCTGTGTAGCAGCAGGTATACCACAACCCTAGGAAGCTTTAATATCAGGTGAAGAAGGCTAGCTAATGTTGAGCTAATAATGCTAATGGTGATTTCGAAACAATTAGTCAGCTGTATAAATGTCTCAAGCTACTTTTTCAATTACCAAAACCTTGATATTACAAAGAAATGTACTTATTTACTTATTAATTCACTGTTTTTTCCCATCTTTGCTCATCAAGTAGAATCTTCTGGTGCTGAGCCGTAGCTGGCAACAGCCATGAAACTCACGGGACGGTAGTGGGAAAGTCCCTTGTGTTTTGAAAATGGGCTGCAGTAACCAATTTTCAACACAGGGTGTTATTCTTACTTCATGCTTACCTAATGCACGTTTAAAGACACCTTTTAGAGAAAATGGATGGAATGAATTTGCTACAGAGATATGTTTTTTTTATCTGAATCAGATGGTCCTACATTTTAGTCATTTCATCCTTCTGTGTAGCTCACAGCACATGCTTATTTCTACCCAGTTGTGAGCTAATTAGAAGTTAATCATTCAGGCATATGCTACCAGCTAATGCTACAGCCTACCGATAACTAGCAAGGAGATCAGCTTCCTGCTGTTGAGTTTTACCAATAATCACTTAAGTTACAGATTAACTTTGGTTCACTCCAAAAGACAAACAATGGTAATATTTACATACAAAAAGACAAAGAGAAGTCTAAAGTGCCCCAATAAAAGACGTTTGCTCATCAAAAAATGTGCACATTGTGTTCCCTTTAAATTCATCCTATTTTTGTGTCCTTTTTTGAAGTCGACATCATTCTAGTCAGATCCATTGCTCACGTGATCCAAAGTACATTTCATGCTCTTTTTCCGTCTCTCTTATTCCTTTTTGTTTCCCTCCGTCCGATTTGAGTCAAAGCACAGCTAATCAGCAGGTGGCTTTGCTTTCAGCAGCCGAGGGCTTTAATTTCAAATAAAGGGGATGCTTTTTTCTGCCCAGCCTGAATACTGCTGTTAGATGTTGTGAGTGGCCGTTTCTGCACTGCTCCTCCCTCACAATAGCACATGCCACAAGGTAATTGAGGAAGAGGAAGGAGAAGACACTTGCTGGTGGAAATTGGCACAGCACAAATTGTTATTAGACAACTGTTAGCCGAAGCTTGGAAAAAAGGGTACGGTGGACATTAGAATTTGACTTCCGGAGCAAAATTTAAACAACATTCTCAGCTGTGGTTAAATCAGGATTCACAACAAGCTCTCAGTCCTGCCAGCAAAGTGTCTGTCCTCAGATTCTCGGGTTTTACCAGCATTTTAGCAACAGAGAGTTTGTAAATGTGAAAAGAGAAACACAGAAAATAAGTGATGAAGCCAAAACCCCTCAAGCACTTTACACCTGGCTGTTTCATGCTGTTGGATCCAGTTCATCAAGCTTTAAACGTGCTAATCTCATGCAACCTGTCTTAAATGCTAATTCAGTCTAAAATTTGCATGCAGGAAATCTAATTTATATGGTCAATAGTTGTATTTTTCTGCCATTTCCTGAATTTTAAGCAAAAAGAAAGATTCTAGAAGACCAGTAGAATTTAGATTCTTTGTCACACAAATAAGAGATTTGGACAATTTTCTTTTACTAAAATCTTTCTTGGTTGTAATAACCCCCGCTGCATTATTGGGAAATGTGTCGTTAACCTGTGTTTCTTTCAGTTTAAGCAACAGCCAGCTGAATTAAAGCCAGATGTGGTTTTAAAACCTGCCAGGATGAATGCTTTTTTCAAACCCAACACAACACCACCTCAGAACTAAACAATGGAGAATGGATCTAAATGGCGCGTGGTCTTTGTGGACTAAGATTGCTAATTTATATCTGGCACTGCTCATGGGTTTGATAAAATGCATTTCTGACAAACTGGGATTGATGGAAACGAGCAGCAACCTGGATCCTCGGATTTCACTGATTGCTGTTCCCGTCAGCCAATCAGCTGAACGTGTACAAATAAAACTAATTAACCCTCACATGTCCTAGTACAGAACAAATATCTTCATTTTGTTATTATAAAGTCCTCTTTAGTCATGTTGCTCATGCGTCCACAGTAGAGCTCCAGCAAAATGGCAGCCTGGTTGTTCTCCAGTCGAGTGGACCGATCCCACTCAGGAACCGTCCAGATGCTAACGAGGAAACAGAAAGAACAACGGCCAGTCCTGGGAATGAGAACTGAGCGTAGTCCATGATGATGTGAAGCTGAAGCAAAGCTGAGCCCGCTCTGGTCCCAATAGGATCTGATCGATGTTGGCAACCAAGCCTGCCTTTGAAGTATCCTCATTAAGTGGGTTTTTGCTTTTCTTCCATCAGAGATCTGAAGATAGCAACATTTCCCTTTGAGGGGGTGGTTGGTTACAACAACAAAAGAAATGGGCCTCATGAGTCTGAGGAAAGAATCTTATCCAATTAGAAAAAAAACTATAATAGGCTATATTTCATTCGAATGCAGTCATTAGTATCAGCAAATCAGTAAAAGTCCTCTTCAGACAACTACTTAACGCCAATCAGCTCCAATCTGCAGAGTGATGGTGTTTAGAAGAACTTGACCTCAGAGCAACCGCATCAAAACATTCTCAGTTTTTGACCAGTTTTAGGACCTCTCACAACACGGCCCGATGGTACTCTCCAGAGACATCTGGGATGAGTGGCGGATAAGTGGCGCCATTGTCGGGTCCACCATAGAGGAAGTAGGGAACAGCTTGTACCAGCCAATCACCATTGTGCTGAGGTCCAGCTCCTCCAACAAGATTCGAGCTACGCCCATGAAACATTTGCGGTCCATTCGTCCGTAGTTTCCCCAAACAATCACCTAGAAAAAAGAGGATTAAACTATTAGAGGAAAATCAAATGTTTCTGCTAAATTCTATTTTGCATTAATTTAGAAAACCAGAGAATCAGCTAAGGATTCAGCTCTGCAGGTTTGTCAGCTGGGCCAATCACAGCGATCTACAGTATGTTTGTGGAAAGACAAGGGCAGACTTAACATTACAGCAGAGTTTTATTTTCCTGTTTACAGTTACAACGGAGCAGAACAACAAAGATGGTGGTGGCTCACAAACAGCACTTGTCTCCAATGGCTTTGGCATCAATTTTGAGCTATTTAGATTTGTGCTTTTCCTTTGAAACATGAGCAGACAGAGGTTCTTCTTCTTGTTCTTCTTGTTCTTCTCCGACGAAATCCGTCACTATGAATATATTATTGTTCAATGCTCTGATTGGTTCAATTGCATGTTGAGATGACTTTAAAGAAAACAGTAGACACCTGCCCTACAGCTGAGCTCTGTCTGTAGGTGGTGGCCAGACTATACATTTACGTTTATATCAATGAAAAAAATTGCATGTATATAGCATATTTTAGATTCTCAGTCAAAATAGAACAACCGTTCCATTACAAGCCAGGCAAAGCAAAAGTCAAAGGTTATTTGAGAACTCAGCTAAAGTCTGCTGGCAGCTGATAAGGAAGCTGTATCGTTCCTGTCTTAATTCTGCAAGAATTTATGTGAAGAAACTCAGTTTTTCTTTAAGTCCTTTAAAAAAAAGTTTATTCCTGGAGTTGGGTCGTGGGGACAACAGCCTTTGTCGAGAGGCCCAGAGTTCCCTCTCGACTCCAGATAAGCAGAAGAGAATGGATGGATGGACGGATTTTTATTACTTTCCATACTTGCCCATTTTAGAGCTGAACCATCTACAAATTTTACAAATATGTGCAGCTTTTCCTTCAGCTGAGGTAAAAAAAAAGACCCACATAGGTGAGTGCATGCTCTTGTTTTCTCCGTGCTGAAGAAGATGATGATGGTTAGCATCGAGGGTTGTAGAAAATATTCTAAAGCAAAACACCTTAGGCAGGTTTTGTGTGTGTGTGTGTGTGTGTGTGTGTGTGTGTGTGTGTGTGTGTGTGTGTGTGTGTGAGTGTGTCCTTTGTTCCCTGACATCCTGATAAGATCCGAACTCAGCTGAGAAAGTCCCACATCTTGTCAGACAGAGGAGAAAATAATCAATATCTGTCAGCAAACATCTTCTCATGTGGTCTCACGTTTCCATGCTGATTGGAATTACAAGTGTCCTAGAGAAACTCGGGTTCGGCCCATTCCATCGCTTTTCCCAATGAGGTCCTTACCTCATTGGGAAAAGCATCTTTGGAAGGAGAAATAAATGAAAGAACAATAGAAGGAAAGATGGAAAAATAGACTGAGTGTGTGTGTGTGTGTGTGTGTGTGTGTGTGTGTGTGTGTGTGTGTGTGTGTGTGTGTGTGTGTGTGTGTGTGTGTGTGTGTGTGTGTGTATTGTTGAGCCAGAGAAGAAGTGAATCCAGGATTTCAGGAGAAGACGAGATGACTAAGGAATCTGTCTCGGCTACGTATGAAAATCTTGGAGCATCAAAACTTTATATTTCGATGAACAAAATGGAACAGTGACTATTTATTGAAAAGTAAACAATTCAGGATGTTTGCATATAAACAAAAGAAATATATTTAGTTATGGAGGTAATTAAGGAATTTTCACATGTGGACTGAAGCAGATTTGGGATTTGCTAAATTGAGGGATGAAAAAATGAGCAAGTGCTGCTGATTTCAGCGATTTTCATTATCCAGTGTGAACGAGTTTGATGAAACCCGGAGGACATCGCCACAGACAGCAGATAATTAAGAGGGAGGCGTTTAGTGGCTAATTACACTGTGACAGTAGCAGGAGAGCAGCTGGAGGCAGAGCTGCAGGCCTCTCCACCAAACGCGTCACTATTTCCATGGAATGGACAGACACACAGGTTCACGTCCTAATGAGGTAAACCATCACGGAAACCAGATGGATCTTTGCAGCGGGGTTATGGCAGAAAAATAAAGGAATCATACGATAAAGTGGTGTATAATCTAAGGAATAATCCACCAGAACATCCGACTTTTTTCATATTTCTTATTGTAAAATAAATAAACTGCCTAAAGCTTTGTTTCCAGCTTCCTCCAAGGTTAGTCCTCCAACAACAGAACCTTTTTAAAAGGGCATCTGTTCATTGGCTCAGACGGTTTGTTGAGGTTTGTGAGACGCTGAATTTGTGGGATTGTTCTGCATTTTCACTAGCAGCGGCAACGGTCTGTTTTATTTCTGCTGCAGTAATGACCATTACCAAAATATTTAATGCTCCCAGACAAGAAGTCGTGCAGATTTTGGTGAAAACATCCCGACAGTTCTGAAATCCGTCCTCATTTTCAAGGAGGTTTTTTTCCCCCCTTATTTTATTGCTGAACATGGCTCATGTTGTGTCTTACCTGCACTACTTTCCCCTGTGGGCTTTCAGAGAACACAAGAACCTGGTTGTAGAGAGGATCCAGAGACTTCCTCACAGACTTGGTCTTCTTCTTGGCCACGCAGATTCCATTTTCTAGAAGGTAAACTTTTATGTATGCCGCTGAAACAACAGCAGAAAAAAAAGATGAATATCTGCTTTCAGGAGCCAAAAACCCAACTATAACTATTTTATTATGTAAAGGAACACTGGATAAATTAATCAATTTTAAGCTAGAGCTTTCACGTTGATCTCAGTGGTTGTTGGCTTAGAACGGGTTGGGCAATCTCTGTCCACGAGGGCCGGTGTCCCTGCAGGTTTTAGATCTCACCTTGGGTCAACACACATGAATCACATGATTAGTTCGTTACCAGGCCTTTGGAGAACTTCAGGACATGTTGAGGAGCTAATTTAGCAATTTAAATCAGCTGTTTTGGTTCGAGGACACATCAAAAAACCTGCAGGGACACCAGCCCTTGTGGAGTGAGATTGCCCACCCCTCGCTCAGAAACTTGACCGGTTTCATATCTGCCACTCTGCAGCCCTCTGCTGACCAAAAACCACACATGAAAGTTTTGTGGAGCGGGTTAGTGTTCTATGGGGGAGCACTTTACATGCTTTGTGGCTGTTAGCAGTAATGCTAGCTGTTAGCATTTTCAGTTTGCCGATCGTCAGTAAAAAGCACAACAAGATAAAAAGTAGAAGTTTGCATTCTGTTGGCATCATGGCAGAGCCTGGAAGTAAAAGTAAGAGAGTAATGTTATTGGAGGTGAAGCAAAGAGCTAAAACCGGAGTGAAAATTGGCGTGGTCTATGCTAGTCTGATACTGATGTTGACCTGGCTTTGTTGCTTCTAGACTTGTAAGTAATACTATTTTCGTTTGACCGTTTGGATCTTTATACTTCGTAGTTTATTTTAGTGTTAGTCGGCTCTTTTTAGTGTTAACTCATTGTTAGCACTAGCTACAGCAGGATGCAGCACGGTTGTTTACTGCAGTTGTAATTCCACTTTCAACCAGTAGGGCAGATAAACAGGAAACCGTCGAGTGTTACTAGATGACACAAATTTAGATGAAAAAACTAACAAGCCAAATAACCTGAAATTATTTTAGAGATATAAAAATTGGAAATGTGTCAAAAGTTGTCAGATGCAAGGTTTACAAGGTGAATCATTATAAAGGTACAAATAAAACGATGTAATTTCTTTAATTTATTTAATGCAAAAAGCTGAGCTTTTCTACTTGCATCACTGCACAGCTGCACACAGTCATTGGTCTTTGATTTTCATTCACTTCAGACACAATCTGATAGCATGAAAGTGTTTTTTTCTCAATCTTCACACCTCAGTTTTACGCAACAGCTGTAAAAATAAACAAATACAGCCAAACAAAATCACACTAAACATCTGCTTTCTTTTGTATCCTGAAGTCAAGCAATATTGAGAAACAACAACCATACACACAATGACACGTTGGATTTAGAATTTCCCATGTAGAAACAGGAAGATTTATGGAGTTCATCTTCTGTCCACCTGATTTATGCTCTTGTGGAAGAAGTGTTTTCATGCATGCAGTTACGGTTATAAAAAGGTCCCTGAATTAGGAACTGCAAAAGAGTAAAGAATGAAGATGAGAGTAAATGAGCATCAGACAGGAACATGAATCTCCTGGGTAGAAGGCCTGCGTGAGTCATGCTGCATCACCTCCTTCTGTTCTGCAAACCAACTCCTTGGTGTATTGTTCCCTAGCTCACCCAGCAGGCTGCTGCAGTTTCCTGGCTTTTCATTTATTTTTGTGGCAAAGAAATGTCCTTGTCCTAAAACTCAAGTTGCTTTCATTCAAAAAAAAATGAATTGAATGGTTGGTCTCTTTAAGCCCCAAGGTAAGAGGGAAAAGTGTTTGATTCCTTTGATCAGTGCATAACATAGGACTGACATGAACTCACCTGGAGGTCCCTTTGAACCTGGTTTCATGGTGAGCTGTCTGGCCTGGACAACCTCCACCTCCAGACCTCCGTTCCTCTCCATCAGGCCTATTTCTACATCACCTGGAAGATGGGACGAATCTTACTTCAACAAGGAGGACATAGGGAGTGTTTTCAATCTTATATCTTTTCTGTCTTTGTGTCCTAATAGCAAGGATGTAGAAAGATTCTTTAAGGTTTTCAATACATATAGACAACTTTAAAGTGGCATTATGGAAGTTTGACAGCCAAAACATGTATAGAAATAATACATTTCTTCTTCATACATTCTCCTGCAATGCCCTGGTCCTGTAGAATGAGCCCTGGCATTTTTACTGCGATTGCCTGTTTTTCTGTAAAATCACAGAAAAAGAGAGTTGCTCGGGTCGAGCAGGCTGCTTCATGCGCGTTCACGCTCAGGCATAGCCCGCAGCATTTGCTATCCGTAGCTTTAGCAGCAGAGAGTGAGGCAGTGCCAACTGAGCGACTTTGTCGCTGTTCCTAACGCCTAGTGATGAACCTAGCTACATTTCTGAGGACCCTTAGCAACTTTCTTCTAGATATTTCCTGCAAATTAGCAACAAAATAGCCATTTTCGCTCCGAACTGTTCTTTGAACGTTGTTTCAGCTGTCATCAAGAATATAAAAGTTACAGATGCAGAAGACATCACCAGCACTTTAGCACACCTAGAAAGGTGTCGGACCCCCATGCAGAAGATCCTGGTTTGATTCTGGATATGAACAATAATTTATTTAGAATTTATTTTTTACATTAATGGTATATTTTTTACAGTAAGATGCCCAAATTTTTATTTGAGACTTGCCAAACGGCATTGAATTCACAGATAAAAAGGATGTGGGTTCAACTTTCATTTTGGAACAATTTTTCAAGCAAGTGAAGGGAAGCTCTGTGAAGCTGACGGACTGACCCATCTTAAACCTTTGTCGGCTGTGCTGAAGAGAAAGGTACAGAACCAAATTATTTGATTAATTAGCTGCGTGTTCTCCTGTCCTCTGCCCCCCCCCCCCCCCCCCCACACACACACACACACAAGACTGTCTCAGCTGTTATTTTCGTTAAGGAGTGTGCATACAGCATGCGCGCCTCGTGCACGAGCCTACTTTTGAAGCTGCCGTTACGCTTTTGGCCTGAGGGGGCAATCGCGAGCATAAAAATTCTAAACTCCGTAAAGTCCCTTTTAACAGAGTTGGTGACTGATGAAATGTGTACGGACCGGAGAAAAATAGAAAAAATCCCTAACAAGATACAATCAATTAAAAATATATTGAAGGTGCTGAACACTCATTAAATCAATACATTTGCAGTAGTCTCTGGTAGGAATGATTGCCTTGCAAGTCATACTCGAGGGTGGGAGTGGGGGTGCCAAAAAGTGTCTGGATCAGCAAGTCTGTTGCAGCAGAGAGTGGCAGCAGACAACAGGATTTGGACTTTTGCTTCCTGGTATTTGGACATCTCACCTCTGATTGGATAAGAGCAATGGGAGTCTACAATCAACTTGCCACGTTGATGTTTTATGTCCACAAATAACTCAATAACTCAGGCCAGGAGGAGCTTCTGATGTGTGGTGACTTGCTAATGCTAACAGTTAGCTTCTGCTAGCTGGGATCCTCAATGCTGTTTGCTGGACGCTAAACCAACAACAGCCTTCCCCGTCGCGAGCCAAGATACGTGAGTCTAAGCGACCGCTTGGCGTGAATCTGTCAGCCTTTTCTAATCCTAGAGTTTCACCGTCTATTTTCTATCAGAAGCTAATGCAGGAGATGGGTGTAGGAGACTATTTTCACGTTCAGTCTGCATGGAAAATTCAGAGTGACCCGTTAGAATCAGAAATAATAAGAAAAAAAATTATTTTCAGTGTTCCCAACTTTAAAATATTGAGACTAAATGGTGACAAGCAAATTTATACACACTTTTGAATTTTCTAATTTGTCATGAGAACCAATTCTCTTATGATTTCAATGGACATTTTGCATCTTTTCTTGTATTTGAGTGTCTCTAACTAATCATCAGCAATTGCAGAACCATGTTATCTGAACCTTTTGGGTTTATACTGTTTTAAATAATTTTTGTGATTTCCAGTGGCTGCAATTGACCCCTTAAGCCCAAATCATTCACATTTGCTCCACATATTCCTGAGATTTTCAGACCTCTATCTCTATATGTTCCTCATTTCTGCTCAATTTCTTTCCCTACATGTACTGCAGGAGTTAAATTTGTTGCTATACGGCTGTAATTTGTTGACTTTTTAAAACAGCCACATGAGTGTTTAATTGACATTAACCTATAAATAGATAAAACCTTTGCAAAAAAATAATTAAACACAAATAAAAATCTTTGATTATTATTGCATCTATCAGGCTTCACTCCAAGGGGTTAAAGCAAAAGTTAAGGTAAGCTTTGCAAATGACCAAACAAGTTAGCATTTAGCCTTTAAATGTTTTAGCCTTTGTTGTGATTGCTTACTTAATGTAATACATACTACCTTCATAGTTTTTATAGATACAGCTGATTACTACATACTCGTTTCAGCTAAATGCCTTCAGAGAGACAAACACATTCTTTTGTAAGTGACAGAGTACAGATGACATCCAAGTTATTCTGGGCTCTCTGACATTATATAATGTTGGACTGGACAGAAGGTTTGGGGTGGAACCGGTCCAGTGAGTGTTTCTTTTGCTGGTCCAAGGACACTTTCTGTCTGCCAGAGAGGAAACTGACCCACTTACAGTGAAAACGCTGCCATGGAGGACAGACTGTGTTTAACGTTTCCTGCGTATACTATCTGAAAACTATATATAAATGAAGCAGATGATGAAAACTTTACTGCACCAAAATCTCCCTCTGATTTATGACTTAGGTTATTACCAAAGTGAAGTGGATTTAGCAGGCGGTTCACTTAGTTTTATGGGTAAATACCCATTTACCCTTTTAATTTTCAAAGCCATTATAGGAGATGTTCCGCTTGACTCTCTAAAGGTCATTTTATTCAAAATACCACAGGCACAATAGCACAATAGCTGTGACCCTCAAAGTATAGTTCTGAACTAAAACCTGAGAAAGAAATTATTCAAACTGTGAGCGGAAACTTTTTAGCGTAGCTTAATGTGCATGTCTTAACCGATGACATCCATGTCTATGTCCACTGGATACAGGCAAAACAACAAGAAGAAGGAGAAATCCACTCTATGTCCCTGAAGGCTAATGAGGCCATCGACTTAAGACAAGAAAAAAAGTAAAAGTACACATAAGTCAAATCTTCATCGAATTATTTTGGAGCATTTGTCGCAAATCAAATATATATAACAGCATGCTAACTGAGTGGAGCGCCACATAAGTTATTGCAAGCGACTCAGGAGAGCAAGAGCTCAAATATCCACCGTTGTCAATAGTCTCTTGTTTGGGAACTCTACGGCTTCCCCGTGAGATATCAAGCAATGAACCCATGTATCCCCACATTGCCAAGCGAGCAACATGTTACCTTGCCATACCAGCGTCCTCTGTCCTCAGCGAGAGGGTTTTATCTACTGCTGGAGATATCGTAACAGCCAACTGATCTGCCCTTTCTGCAGACAATGTGGACAAACTAATATTTCTGGCAAAAAACACGAAGGTTGAGTGAACCTAAAACGGCAACAAGCTGGAACTCCTAATGTTGCAGAATGTTTTTGTTAACCTATTTCAGACTGAATCCTTCCATTTGTTCCTCCATTTACACTTCAAGTTCTTCAAAAAAAAACAGCACAATAATCATCTTGCAGATTCCTAAATAAATATTTAAACTGGCAGATATTTATTTTTTTATCTTATATATATATATATATATATATATATATATATATATATATATATATATATATATATATACATATACCGTATATATATATATATATACCGTATATATATATATATATATATATATATATATATATATATATATATATATATATATATATATATATATATGTATACATACACACACACACACACACACACACCACTGGTGTAAGAGGTTCACAGCTCAATAATACCAGAGAAGGAGAAACTGTCAGCTGCTACCATTTCTACTTTAGGACTAACTACTAGAGTCCCAAAAAGTAAAACACCATTTGAAATCAAAGGCAACAAAAGGCAATGGACCTAAAAAACAGTGACTGGTGTTTAGCACCATCTTGTTTCCTCTGGCATTGTGGGTTTCGGGTTCCAGCAGAAGCGTAGGGAAGATACCCAACGGGAGAGGTGAGTGAGTGATGTTCTGGGACTATGTGACCAAGCTTGTTCTGTAGATTTGCATAGCAGAATGGTGAGGTTGGTGATTTAAAAATAAATAAACCTTTATAAAAAGACCCTGTTAATTTAAAAAGTTCATATCCAGAAAATATCATCAATTAAAAAAATGTACACATTTTCATTCCACTATTGGCTTTCTGTTTCTTATTCTGACCTGCCGCAGGTTGCACTGGAGGCGGCTGCTGCTTACTGCTCACTTTTAACTTCTATAATTCTGTTAAAAGCTGGAGCTATTTTATGATGGGGTGATGTAAAATTTTGAATTCGATTATAGTTTTAGCCATACTTGGAGAAAAAAGAAACATCTTGAGGCCAATCCCAGGAAGTCGAACTCTCCATAATTATATTATATGTACTTCAATATTTTCGAAAAATGTTTTTTCATAGCAGCTGAATGTCTTTTCTCACCCAATGATGTCATTGCAAGCGTCTGCCTCCCAACAAACTGGGCCGGGCCCATCCCGTCCAGGAAGTCACTGAACTGGGTATCCGACGCCAGACACATGCCGCTGTAGTTAAGACTGGAGAGAAAAAGGAAAGAGACAGAGATGGATGGATGGTTAGACACAACTAGACAGCTCTCACTGTGCTTCAGTTGGCAGGAGAGTGAGTCATCAAGAGAAATAAAATCACGCAATTCCCACAAAAAGAACTGAGACAAAAGAAAAAGAAGAAAGACAAAGAAAATTTCAACAGAAGGGAACAAAAAGAAAGGTATCACTCAACTTCGTTAATTCCTTCTAGAATTATATCAGAAATCCTCATCAAACCTCTTCTGGCCCTACCGCAACAGATGGAGTATCAGGATTATACCTTCATCAGATATCCAGTCTACTGCCCCCTGGTGGAGGATTTACAGATGGGAAGGGCCAATTTTATTTCATTATTTTATAATAACATGAAAAACAGATTGTTATATTAACATTTGACTATTGAATGTATGTTTCCTATGACTATTGTTCTGTCAGGCTTCAATAAAGACAGCTGTCTGATATCAAAACTTTATACATAACAAAATAAAACCTGTTTAAACAAACGATTAAATAAAAAAAGACAAATGTAAAATGTGCGTTTTGCACAGGTATGCATCGTGAGTATGAGTAAAGCTGTTACACAATCACAAAGAAGTCCTAAAATCAGGAAAAATCTAAATCAAAACTAGTTAACTGTTATGCAATGCAATATTCTCCAACAGCTAGTGTTTAGTGTTGTGCTCAGTCACATTAATGACACTCACAATGAAGGTTCAGAACAGGTTCAGTTACTCATCATCTGAACACACCTGCCGACAGTTTCAGCTGCACTCATGCCCTTTGAAAAAAATACATTTGAATGCAATGCAAATATATAAATAAACCATATGGTAGAAACCAACAGGCCGTCAGAGTGGTAGATGTCTAAAGTTACAATACAACCACAATCAAATTCACTCTATCTGCAGGTGCAGTTTATCAGGATTGTTTTGTTTTGTTTTTTATTTTTGTGGTATTTTTCAAACAATGACAAGCATCTTGTGAGAGGTATATTATAAATTTAATGTGAAATTAGATAGAGATGATTACTCCAGTGAAGTGTAAATACCTAAAATTACTACTTGAGCGAAGTACCAAAGTATTTATCCTTTTGATGCCTTTGGTTCCATCCTTGACTCTGGAAACCGCCGATTTGTGGTTAGTAGCTGTGAACGTGACTCTAGAGGAGGCTGCTCTCATGTGGACTCGTGGTAAATCTGACCCGGATTCAAGGCACCATTAGTCACAGCCATGTTTAGAGCAGTGGATCAATTTTTCTCTTGTGGTTTTGTCATTTCAGCGACTAAGTGAATTCAGATCACAGCTGATCTTGTTGACCATGTGCTCCAGAATAGAGAGCGAGCAAACAAGGACAGGCTTGATTAACCAGTGTCCCCCCCATTGTCTATTTACCTTCTTTACCCGTCCTCTCACCAGCGTTCATCAGTCTTCTTCTGCTGTTTTCCAATTTGGAGGTACTTGAATCTCCAAACAGAAATTCTCTCTGCAGCTCTTTGATTTTTCTCTTTTTTTTTTCCAAGTTAATCATTCCACCTTGAATATTTTATGTTGGATCCTTTAATGCCCTGGCAAAGAAACGTGTGTGTGCTTTTTTTATTTCCAACCAAACTGTTTGTTAATTTGATAAAATTATTATGGGCCATGATAAGCCATGCTAACAATGGCTCAAACCATTAAATATACTCACCCATATGTTTTGTTGGGTTTTTTCCCACCTAGCAACTTGTAAGTAGAAGGTTATTTAGTACCCAAACACACACACACACACACACACACACACACACACACACACACACACACACACACACACACACACACACACACACACACACACACAAAGACACATTGAGAATAAACTATCAGCAGACTCTCACGCCTATACACACCCACTGGGTCCTGAAATGCCTCCATCATAAATCAATGGGCTTATAACTATGATTGGATAGTGTTAGCTGGCAAAGTGCTTATTCGCGGCAGCATATGAGCATTTCCTAAAGCTTTTCAATCAGCAGCTCGAGCCAAACAGCTGACGGAAACACAGACAGGAAGGGGAAAAAAATCAGCAGATGATTTAAATGATGCAGCAGTGTAGCCAGTTTGATGATTCAGCTCCCTTTGGTCACAAGGCTTGGAGCACACACACATAAATCTCTTAGCATCATTTAATTCAGTTTATTCATATAGCGGCAAATCACGACAAGAGTCGTCTCAAGGCACAACACTGAACAAAACAATTCAATTGAGTTCAGTTTATTAAGCCAATCAGTAAAAAAGTTTCCTATATAAGGAACCTAGCAGGTTGCATCAAGTCACTGACTAATGTCAGAGTCTTTACAGCAATTCTCATACTAAGCAAGCATGCAGCAACAGTGGAGAGGAAAACTCCCTTTTAACAAGAAGAAACCTCCAGAGGATCTTGGCTCAGTATAAGCAGCCATCCACAATGACTCACTGAGGATGGAGAAGACAGAGCAGAGACACACACACACACACACACACACACACACACACACACACACACACACACACACACACACACACACACACACACGAAACCTCTTCAGGATGTCTTTCGAAAGCCTTTTAATCACCCAGTAAAACAGTCCCTTCATATTTATAATATAAATGTTAATTTTCCTAATTTTCATGCAAACACAATCACAAATGCATGAACAAACCGTTTCTGTCTGCATGTCTTTTTAAGCCCTCCAAACCCACGTCGATCTGTCTGCCTCATTTTGTTATGTAACTGTTGGAATTTGAGCTGCGAGCCAGTTTGGCGCAGATCTGTGAGTGCTGTTGTGTCTGTAGTATTTCCACGTTATTACTGATGTCATCTGTGCTGTGTGAATCACTTAGGCTCATTTCCACTATTGGAACCAGCGAGTAATTTCACAGCACCTTCGTGGCACTCTTGTGTCTCCATTTCACCAGGTCAGCCCAAAAGGACTCTTTCCTGGGCCATTTCAGGAACCAGTGGAGTACTTGAACAGGGTACTGGAAAAGGCCTTGTAGAGTCGCTGGGAAGGATTTGTGGTTAACTCATGCTGATTGGCTGTAACTTAGTAGGAAATGGCATCAGGAGATGTCACTAATCAGGCAGACGTTGTTGAATTGAAAGAGTTGCTGGTGAAGCAGGATTGAGGAAAGTCAAAGGAATACTTTGCAACTTTTTCATATTTTTAAATCATTTTCTGGGGCCAGTATGTACTGAAATGACCCTTTACAGGGGGGTGTTTCTCAACGCCAAGGAACTTTGCCTTGATGTCTTGGTCCCGCCCCGGTTGTCTAGGAGATACGTCATCAGGAACCGCCAAGACGTGTTCCAATGTTCATGTTCTACTGAGGCGTGTGTTCTTCATTTGTTAGCTGTTTAGCTAGCTGAGCGAGGATACACGGGAGCCTTGGTCAAAAACTTCCCAGAGTACGTCGTGTTATTTTCAAAAGGATGGCGGATCAGACACCCGCAGCTACTTCGGGGACAAATTTCAAGTTTAAATGCAAGTCAACTAATTGTAGCTACTAACCAAAGTAATTAGCTATGATTGGTTAGTTGATTAGTAGTTGCAGCTTTGGTGGCTAGCAGGTAGTAACTCGCTCACATATTTAAAACAAATATATAAACATTTTTTTATAAAGCCTCGTTATATATTTATAAGAAATCTCCATGCAAGTTCAGACGCCTTCACACTGAGAAACACCCAAGGTTAAAGAAAGGCCACCCAGCCCCTATCGCCCCCTGTGACTAGAATGTTCTCTTACAACTTCAGAACGACTGACTGACGTAACTGGTGCTGCAGTCTTCTTCCAGCACGTTTCCTACATGTTTTAGATCATGAACACAGCTGATTTGTTTAATTTAGTGATGAAACCACTCCTGTAGACACTAAGGAAGGCTGGAGAGACTTCAGCTTTTAGATTAGTTAAAAAGACAAACACACAGCGAGGAGAAAGGCTTTGTTTTTGTCTCTTCAAACAGACACTAGGTGCTAAAAGCAAGCCAAAATCACCTAGTTCCCCTTTAAAATAGAAAGTGTTCACATAGCTTTAAAACTGTGGTTTCTAAACTACCAACACCAGAAAAACGCAATGGAAAATGTCATGGTCCGTGGTGAGCTGACTGCCTGTAACCTGGCTTTTTCCTCTGAGCATTGTTTCCACAGGTGGACGTGTCTGAGAGCTCCCAGCTGCAGCTGATCTCCTCATCAAGGCCCAGGGGATTTAAGGAGCAGTGCGACACTTCACCACGCCGGATGATTACTCTGTTTGGGTAGCTCTAGCCTCAACCTGACCTTGACACTTGTATTTGTGCTCTTGTTAACCTGTCGCTTGAAAACCCCTTAATGCCCTCTCCTGCTCTCCTCCAGGTTCCTCTCAGTCCCTCACCAGCTCCAGAACAAACCCGGATCTCAGTCTACCTGACGCACTGCTTCATCCCCTGGCCGCCCGCTCTCAGCCACTCACCTACTAACATCCATTCCTGCTCTTCCACCTCTGGATAACCAATACCTTACCTTTGGATCTCCTCAGCTCACCCGGACCAGACAATCCTTCCTGTACAATTACCACTACCAAGTAACATAAGACCAGTCTCCAGATAAGTTCCCATTTGTTTTCTGCCTTATATTCACTCTGTCTCCCTCCTTATCTCATCCTGGATTCCTGCTGCCAGTCCTACATCTCGTCAGTTCCCGTCTCTTACTTTTCTCCTTAGTAATAAAAGTTTTTTACTTACATTCCTGCTCTCCATGTTGTGATTCTGCATGTCGTGGGTCAAGAAATTTCCACCCACCATGACAGAAAACCTTTCACAACACCGTAATCCAAGGCGTTTTGTGGTCTCACAGACCACCGGAAAAAACTATGCTTCTTCTGATGGTAGAATGCCATTAATGTACGTCAAACAGCCACTCTCTCTTTCTCTTAATGGATGAAACGAATAATAACCCTAACCCAAATTAGGCATACTCCGATAGCGTGACATCATCAATGACAACCCAGTCTGTTTGTAAACCTAACATGGAGACTAGGACATAAATACAAGTAGACACATTCAAACACAGAACCTGTATAAATTGAGTCAGAGAACGTAGGGAACACTGATGTTGCGATAAACAACCCCCCACTTGTTGTGATTCGAGTTGTGTAGTCTGATCTAGGGGTGGTGTCACCATCAAAGTTAAGGAACTCTTGCGAGGTTTGATATGGTTTCTGTGGACCCACGTGTACACAGGATCTTTGTGACTGTTGGTGATCTTGATCTGATACACCACAGGTGAGAGTTTATTGGTGATTAGCTACAGACCTTAACACTTCGGCAGAAGCTTCTCAGCCAGTTTCCCAGTGGTGAAGATCGTAGTTAATAATGAGTAGGACTTGTAATCCTGTTGCCCCTCCCTAGAGCATCAACAGTGACATCCCTCACTGCTAAAATAGTCATGATAAGCTAATGTCTTTGCAAAGTCCTTAAAGAGCCGATTTTGTATGGAGACACAACAGTTGAGAGGACCAAGCCAGCGTCACCTTCCCCCCTACAAGAAATGTCCCGTAACTCATTTGGAAACACGGATTTTGAGTTGAGTAGGAAGAATAAACTTTACTCACTTCCCTTCAGAACCATAGCTGTTCATGCTGTCTTCTATGGATTCATGGCTGGCCTGGCGGACGGTCCGGCTGGGCATCTCCACAGCCAAACCTGTCTCCGTGCTCCTCTGGATGGCTCCTTTCAACTTCCTGCCATCTGTATCCACTGCAGGGAAACAGACACAAATCAATCCTTAATTAAGCTGCCGTGCACATGGAAAGAATGCAGGGTTAAGTGACTGTGAAGGAAACATCCGAATATCTTCTCATTTCTGCATCTGCACATCTGTTAATGGTTTAGTTCGGCCATAGAAAGGAGGAGTAATTACTTCAACAAGGGCAAGGACGAAACATTTATTCTGAGATCAGGGACATGTATCTTGTTGCAAAATACACCATAAAATCAATGTGTAGAACAAGATATTAGACTGAAACCCAGGTTTTCACACACACACACACACACACACACACACACACACACACACACACACACACACACGATTCTTTGTGTCAAGCTAGAGGTTTCCTCACTGAAAAATGTTTTGAATGAAGCTTAGACGGATCAAAGTTTAATCTAATACCAAACTGATAACAAAAAAATCTAAAAGATGCCTGCTTTAGGAAGTTTCAAACACACACACACACACACACACACACACACACACACACACACACATACATGCACACACACAGTGTTTGAAACTTATTTCTGCAATTATTAAAGAGTGACCTAGTATGTTTCTATTTCTCTCATGCTCAAGTGGGACAGGAGGACGCTGGCAGATTTGGGTTACAGCTCTGCCGCCTGTTTCCATGTAATCAGACACCTTAGACCCCAGAAACCGTCGCACATTCACTAAGATCACAACAATCATCTTTACTTAATTAGTCAATGAAGGAAAATCTTGAGGATATAAAAAGGAATTTGTTGCAGATTTTTTCAGATACTCATACTTTTTGTGTTTTTGAGATATTTTCTGTCCTACTCATCCTATCTGATGCCTCGCCCACATTTTCCTGTTCTCTTTATGTGTTTTTGTAACCTGCACAGACGTTAGGCTGTATCAGAAATCCAAGATTTACAGCCACACAAATGCAACACAGTGAAGTCATCAGACTTAGAGCCTGGGATGAGTCAATGATGGATGTCGCATCCGAATCTGACCTGATTTCTGTCTGCAGCTTTCAGCTGCTGCCTATTAAACACAAACATCAGTTCATGGTGATTCACTCAGATGGGTGTTTGGTCCCAAAATACTGTCAAAAAAATCTTTGAGAAGCGAGGAATTGTTAATCTAAAATTGTAAATGTAGCCTCTAAATGAAGGGAACCACTGCTTATGAAGATAACAGACCTGAACTTACCTCACCACTAGAAACAATAAAAAGGGCCTAAATTTTGTGTCCTTTAATATTGGTGAATTTTCCAAAATCACACAAAAAATACTCTTTTATTAAAGCAACAAAAGAACCAAACCATCCATAAAATTATTTTTGAGTCCCAGATGGTCCCGTTCAGTGATTTTCCTTTAGTGTCCCAGCTCTGCCTATGAGTGCAACAGAAAAAGCCTCAGAATAAACCGCAGCACCTTGTTTAATCTGCTCAAATAAAACGACTAAAATCATAAAATAAACATCAAAATCTCACCTGAAGGTTCTTTCAAAATAAAACCCTATAATGACGCCTTTTTCATACATAGGTGTCTTGAAAGCCTGTTGTACATCTGACTGATATTTGCATGGAGATTGGAGGATGTGTGAATGAGGAAATGATTTTGGTGCCAGTGGAAGCTGTAACCATGGAGACCATGACAAAACCAAAGCCAAACACAGGTATTTTAGTATTGACATTAATTACATTGGCCACTGAGGTCATGTCTAAGACAATAGATCTCATGGAGACCGACCATGACCCGGAGGACAAAAAGTAGTTTTGTGACTTTTAATTGTCTAGTGAAAACTCATCAGGATTGTATTAAAACACAGTAAAGTTGCATAACTTAACAGTTGCTTTTGACCAACTCCTTTAGGTTTCTGGCCTCTCTGTTCACCCAAATCCGAATCAGCATGCTTTATCTGCTGCAGACTGAAAGGCAATCTTACTAGGCAATCAAGATAAATGATTAACACTTAGAGAACTGACAGATTTCTTATTTGCAATGTTTCTAGACTCGTTCTGTTGGTCTCCAACACAAAATTGGGCTGGTAAAGCTTTCACTACGCATCCATCTGCCTGCCTGCATCTCAGCGTGCATCTGATGCTGAGCTACAAATCATATATACACTTTGATTTATTCACTTTGACAATCATCGAGTCTAACAAACGTCTGAGAACTTGGGTGCACATGAAAAACCCGGGACCAATCAAAGCAATCGGGTTATTATTACCCGGTGAATCTCACCTTAAATCAGAAAGAAGCAGTTTTTGTTTTTACACCTCACCACCAAAATGCAAGGATGCTTCTGCCATTGTGTGTATTTGTTTGTCTGTTTGTTAGCAAAACCATTTGTAAACACCTGAATGGGTTAACAAAAGCCTAAAGAAGTAACAATCGGATCTACAGTTCGTTAACTTTGGATTCAGTCCAATGCAAGCCATAGCTCATCTACAATAGCAAACACTAAAACTGACTCAGTCGATCACACAACGGTACAAAATAGAGTTTTATGTGGTTTTAGCTCAGACTCCTCCCTTTGAGTGCTAAATATAGCAAAAGTGTTGCATTCAAACTTGTTTCCACACTTTTATTGAGTCAACCTTGTTTCGCACGTTAACTTGGAGAGGTCTCTAAGCACTTCCTGCAGTCTATACTATTAGTGAATGCCTCGTGAGTCATTTGCCATGGATAAAAGCTCCGTCCCCCCGTTTCAGGAGGTAGAAGTGTGTGTGTGTGTGTGTGTGTGTGTGTGTGTGGTGGGGGGTGGGGGGTGGGGGGGGGGGGGGGGGGGGGTGGGGGGGCAGGATTACAAGTCCTACTCATTATTAAAGAGTAACTAAACCCCCCAAAACATGTTTTGCTTATAAACTGTATAACTGGGTCTTTACAAATGCAATCTTTCTGTTTCTGTGCTAGCATTTGTTTCCGACGCCCGCAGTAAAAGGATAATTTGACTGATTTGTGACCTTCATCCTCTTGCAATTTAACCTTCCCCTCGCCCCCATCCTAACCTTAACCCAGTTTCTCTTTCTAAATTTCCCGTCAACCGTGTTTGAGAGGAACGATACAACAAGAAACAAAGTTTTGCATGTGTAAGTGGGTTAAGGGCTCCCAACACATCAGAAACAAATGCTTGGTCACCCTTCGTCATTTGTAGCTGCTTCAGGTGTGAGAATGTGTTGCGCTGGTACACTTGCACGTCATCAGTACAGTCTCCTCCCACTCCTCCTCCCTCCACACTTTCATAGTATTTTTCAAATCTTGACTAGGGGTGGTGTTACATTTTCTGATGGTGTGCAGTCCCTCTTTAACTACAATCTACAACCATCTTACATCCTATTGGTCAACAGTAACATGACTTCCACGGTCTCGGTTTGCTCTTTGTTCTTGTTGAAAATGCAACATTTATATGATTCCAGTTCAATTCAACTCAGTTTATTTATAAAGTGCCAAATCATGACAAAAGTCATCTCAAGGCACTTCACACAGTAAACATTACAATACAGTTCAGGTCATTAAGCCAATCAGCAAAAGTTTCCTATATAAGGAACCCAGCAGGTTGCATCGAGTCACTGACTAGTGTCAGAGTCTTTACAGCAATCCTCATACTAAGCAAGCATGCAGCGACAGTGGAGAGGAAAACTCCCTTTCCCTATAAATCGCACAAACATGTTCCACCATGTTGTGAAGCTGCTAATGACTAACTTACTAATCACACCTTCTGAACTCTACAGGAGGCAAAATCAATAGAGCCATGAGCTGTTAGTGTGGGTGGTCACGAGCAAAGGTGGGCGGGGCAACAAAACCTAATTTTCCCTGTGACACAGAAGAGACTGACCTTTTCTGCCCCGACTGTTCGCCTGCTAATTCCTTTTGCAGCTAATGCGGGCAAAGGATGAAGAAGACCGTTTTCACGTTGGGCATGCATCTGCAATTCAACTACAGCTGATTAACTTTTGGAGTCAGCTCATTTAACTGGTTGTGCAGCACTCCAGGCTAAAGACCAAAGGTGACAGATCATTTGCTGCTGTGGCCCCAGACTCTGGAACTCTCTCCCCCTGAGCCTGAGATCAGTGGACTCAGTGGTCTCCTTTAAAAAGCAGCTGAAGACTCACTTGTTCAAGCTGGCTTTTGTATGACCTCCTTCACCACTCTCTCTTTATTCTGCTCTCCCCACCCATTCCACCTTCCTCAGGATCCACTGACTTCCCTCTTTCCTATTCACTCTCTCTCTTTCTTAACATTTTTTTCTTTTAAATCGCAATTGCCTATTCTTGCTCATTTTAAATATATTTTTAAACATTTTCAAAATGCTTTTTTTCTATTTTTACAATTTTTATATTTTTTGTTTTTGTGAAGTGCCTCGTGATTTTTATATTGAGAGGCGCTAAAGAAATGATATTTTCTTCTTCTTCTTCTTAAAGCCTAACTGTCGCAGCTAAATTAGCTTAAAAATTAAAAATAAGCTTATGAATTGGCCATTGAGTTAAAATGAGCTAAGTGACACAACTTGGACTAAGATCAAAAACACAAGGTTTTAACTGTATTTTCAACAAACTGAAATCATTTGACCACCGTCATTTGATCCCAGTTGTACATTTTGCATGAAAGTCTGGGAGTACTTGAACTTTCTAAAAATGTTTTTTGTTAAATTAGCATAAAAGGTTACTAAATAAACATTCAACTTAATTATAGCGTTCTCAATTAAACGTGTGCAATGGAATCTTGAACGAAAACATATTTTTTAGTTTAGTTTTTATGTTTTTTTAAGCTGTAAACTGGTTCAGTCCGTGTATCACTTTCATAGTAAAACCTGTAAGCCTGAAACACCAGTAGATAAACAGATGTTGGCTGCCATACCACTTTACTCCAGTTGTTGTTATTTGTCCCCCAGATGTTTGAGATCCATGGTCTTGTGCAATCATTTGAAGTACTATTGCACTTTTTTGTTCTTTAACTTTGTTGCCTTCAGGTCAAACCCTCATTAGTCCAATCTCTCCACACCCAGT